TGGTGTTGGCACATTTACAAAGAATATGAAGTTGGAGTTGATGTGGATCAACTCGGCGACGAAATGGAGGCGAGAAGGGTTAGGAACTCCACCGGCGGAGTGTCCGCCCGTAGAGTGCGGACAGTCCGACAGTGCCATCGGCGCCCTAGACAAAAAAGACAGGGTCTCACAGAGTGGACCGGACACTGGTCACGTAGTGACCGGACGCTGGGGTCCTACGTCCGGTCAGAGCTGACGTATGGTGACGCAGGCAGAGCAGAAGCTGGAGAGTGACCGGACGCTAGTGCTGCGTCCGATCGCGATCGACCGGACGCATCCGGTCGTGAAATATTGTTTCTGGAACCTTACTGGAAACGATCGGACGCTAGAGGCTCAACATCCGGTCAGTTGAAGCTGCTGCGTCCGGTCGTCAGATGACCATTGAGATTGGAAGAACAGCGTTTGAAGGAGGGGACACGTGGCGAGTATTGCGTGACCGAACGCTGAGGTCCAGCGTCCGGTCGATCGGACCGGAGCATCCGGTCGTCCCGACTTTTGCCCAGCGAAGGGGTAACGGCTCTATTTGTTCGTGGGGTTATAAATAGAAGCCATGGTCGGCCTTGGGCTAGCAGCTGAGCACACTAGAGCCTTGATGGCTTATGTGGTAGTGCTTGGGAGCCCTCCATCTCACATATGCTTGATAGTGATCATCCGATTGTGTGAGAGAGCGATTCTAGTGCGATTGCATCGTGAGGTTGCATCGAGTGGCACTAGGTGATCGAATTGCAAGCCGGTGGTGCTTGTTACTCTTAGAGGTTGCCACCTCCTAGACGGCTTGGTGGTGGTCTCCGTCGAAGCCCGTAAGAAGCTTGTGCGGCGCTCCGGAGAAGTGCTTTGTGAGGGGCATTGTGCTCGCCCCGCGGGAGCCGCGAAGAGCAACTTTAGTAAAGCGTGTCATTGAGCTACCCTCACTTCCGGGGTAGGTTCTTGCGGCGCCCGACGTGCGGGCTTGGTGGGTGATGCCAATTAGCCGTCGAACCACCAAATGAGCGGTCGACACAACGGGGACTAGCGTGTTGGCAAACACGTGAACCTCGGGATAAAAATCATCGTGTCAACCTTGTTCTTCCCATTGGTTTGCATCCCCGTTACATAAGCTTGCAATTACTTTCATATACATTGAGCTTGTGTTGTTGCTTTTGTAATTAGTTAGCTTGTGTAGCTTGCTAGTTATCTTCTTGCTTGTGTAGCATAGAAGTAGCTCCCTTGCGTGGCTAATTTGGTTTACGTAACCTTGTTAGTCACATTGCTAAGTTTGTGTAGCTAAGTAATTGCGCTCTCTAATTTGGCATTGGTTGCCTTGTTATTGAGCATTGCTAGTGAGCTTAGGTGGCTCTGTGCTTTTGCTTACTATGATATGTAGGAGCTTCCTTGTTGCTTAAAGTACTAGTGGCATAGGTTTGTGTGACTTTGCTCCTAGAATTGGTTAGGAGAGCTCTAGCTAGCCATGCACCTTAGTTGCTTAATTAGTATCTTTGGAAGGTGCTAGAGAACATAGATAGAGGGGTGTAGTCTTGGCTAGACCGATAGTTTTAATTCCGCACTTGTTTCGGTTAGCCGACGCGATTAATTTTAAAAAGGACTATTCACCCCCTCTCTAGTCGCCATCTCAACCCTTTCAGCCGCCCACGGGAAATACACCGCGAGAGTAAAGATGGCAACAGGCACAAAAGCCAACCCAAACCCATACCCACAAACATAAAATCTACCCATTAAAAACCCATGACCCACCACGGGTATAATTTATGCCTAAATCCATACCCACTCACCCATTAAAAACCCAAGACCCGTCACGGATATAATTTATGCCTAAATTCATATCCACTCGGATTACGGGTACCCAATGGGTTGCCCATGCCCGCAAGACAGGCACACCATGTCACCAACACTGAACGAATAGAAGAAAGTTTTTTCTGACAATTTCCTCGGCTTTCATTTTCTTGCGGCAAATTCCCAATAGGAAATAGGAAACCATAATATTGCAATTGCAATGCCTACAACAATGTTGAATGTTGTGTCCTGTGCAGGTAGATGAGTGAAGCATCCATAGTTTATATAACATTCTAGCCTATGTCTTCCTGTTGTCCAAGCGAGGTGGGACTATTTCTAATACATAATTAGTATCATTAGGCAGATTGTTGAATATATTTTCATAATAAATTTATTTAAAGATATAAATATTGCACGTATTTTCTATAAATCTAATTAAAGTTGAGAAAATTTGACCTGCACGTATCTCATAATAACTTGTATTTTAAGACGAAGGGAGTACACAGGAAGCCAAACGAGTAGCACTAGGACACAGATGCCATGCCGCCTGCTATGCTTATTGGGCCAGTGGCCAGCCCATAATGCTACCACCCTACCACTAGCAAGTTGTTTCCCAGTCCTTTGCATGTCAGGATATGGTCTAGCGATTTTATTTTTCTCTTTTTGCAGTTCTATATTTCATGATAATTATAAAAAATACATGTTCTATTCTATGAAAATGCAGGTTTAAAAAAAACCATGGGTTTATGGGTTTGGGTACTATATCCCCAAACCCATGCCCACAAACCCACTGGATCTGGCTTTTTGCCCATTAACAAACCCATAGATGGAGGAATTGATCCATATCCATGTAAAAATCCACTGGGTTTTGGGTTTCAGGTACCTAATGGACGCGTCCCTTCCTCGCCGTGCCGCGCCAACGTCATCGTCGTCTCTGGGCTTAATAACCATTTGATGACGCCATATATATATATATATATATATATATATATATATATATATATATTCTGGTCATAATATAGATACGGACTGCTGATTGTTTGAGTAACAATCGACCAAGTGATCAGTTCCGAATCCGTTCAGCTGTCCCACGCCTTGGCTGGTATATAAGCCAGCTGGTTTCGGCTGATACAATAGTGTTTTGTGAGAGAGAATAAACTGAAATAAACTGACTTAGGCTCAAAAGTAGTTCGAGCGAACAGGACAACCTGCAACAGGGCAACGGATCGCCGGACCTGTTGTTGCTTCATCAGCTACAGAAATCGTGCGGTGGACACTTCGAGCGCAAGCGTGCCTCCAGCTACAGGTCGTGTTCAGCTGGCTGGCTGGCTGATTGCCGGCTGGCCAGCCACTTCACAAAATCACTGTTCACGTTCTGCCAGAACAGTATTTTTCTCTCACAACAATCAGCCACAACAATATTTTTCAGTCCTGCCGAACAGGCCAACAACCGCGAACACTTTGGGTTTCTCTCCCACCCAGAACCACAAGGCCAGAACCGTATCCAAGCACAGGGGAAGGGGGCTGAATTTGGAGAGGGCAGTTGCTTCGGCGACAGCCACATGAACCACAGCTGCTACGAAGAATACAGCGCGCGCCTGATCCTGTGATCCGGGTCAACTATTGCGTGCTGAGTGATAGTTAAGGACGAGATGCCGTGAGACGTGACAGCCGCGGAGTCGCCGTTAACAAGGCGTGCTCGGTCGTCAGCCTCACAGGACTGCATAATCTGCCCGGCTCCGGTCAAAGAGCGAGCGAGAGGTAGAGAGCTGATCGGATTTCAGTAGAGTGCTTTGCACCGGTTCAAAGTCTTAAATCGCATAAATAATCAATACTACAGTACAAGTCTAAATCTGGGATACTGCTAGTTTGATGCATGGACCTTCTGAGCTACTACAGCTTTTTTTCCCCAAATGAGAAGGATGTGCTCGTCTGAGATACTGCTCCAGCAGTCATACAGCTGCATTTCTTCGTGCATTATTCCTTCAACGAAGGAAGGATTCTTTTTCTCTCATAGCGAATCAGCATCAGCATCAACCAAATTTCAGCAAGCCTCTTGCTTTTGAAAGAACAAATGACTCTCACAATAAACCAACACCAACCAGCCCAAACCAACTCAAAACCAACCAGCTGAACATGCCGAATATCATGATTCACGAACCTCTTCCTATGGATGAACAACAAATTCATCAAACCCTCTTGCCTTTGAAACCAACTCTTGAATTAAAACAGCGCTCGACGTTAACTCATTCTACCTGGGTCTTCATCACAAAAATCAAAAGCATGACATTCGGTGACATTTCCGCACAATGGAAATGGGGAGCCGTCAGTGCAATTCCCTCAATTTAAATTGACACTAGGACCCCCAACCTCCACTACGAGCGCATTTCAAAATACCATCAGCCAATTAGTTGCTAATGCCCCGTGACAGCCTACCAAAGACTCGCATCGATACCACATTGTTTTGGCTGCAGCACTCATGGCATTATGGCGGCAAGCCCCCACCGGATTGTCATTGTTTAAGCATGACTTAACCACCAGCCTGAGCCACTCACTTAAGCCAGAGAACAACTGACAGCCACAATCCCAGCGGGGCACCAGCATCAGCATGTGAACGTCGCCATCCAAACAACCCGGCTTTTGTCACCTATCAGCCCATGATTGGGAATTAAGCTCGCAGTTTCCAATAATAGCCGAGCAATCCAATCTTTCTTTTCAGCTAGTGTCGCGGGAGACATGGAAAACAAAGCGCAGAAGCTCTTTTTTTTTCTTTCTAAATCAAGAGATCTAGTTACTCAACCACTAGGGTCTATCACTTGTTTAGCTCCAAATCTGTATCCGATTCCAAGTCCACAATGTATATATCTAATTAAGGGAGCAGACCAATGATTTGTAGTAGAATTTAGCGATTGGCCTCCTACAGTAAGTTTGATTTGATGATGGACTCTGGATCACACAGCATGAGCATGGTTTCTCTAGATGTTCATTTCTCTGGTTGTCGATGGAAGGAAGGGTAAAAATGGCGGCTTGGTCAGTGGAGCACTCAAAACTGCACAAGAACATTGCTCGCTGAACAATTGCAACTTACAACAATGGGAAGAGAAATCCTCACTGAATTGCGAACCAATCATCAATCGAAACAATGCCGGCAAGCCGCTACCGCCGCCGCCGCCGCTAGCCCATCACACACACTAGTTCTTCCAGGCGTAGACGAGGAGGGAGAAGCCGTCGCCGCTCTGCAGCTCGGCCTCCTCGGGGCTGCCCCAGTCCATGACAGTGGAGCCACTCGCCCACGACGCGGAGGAGGACGCCACTGACGCCGACGAGGAGGAGCTCGCCTTGGCCAGCCTGCTGGCCTGCCCCCTCTTCCTCCTCGTCTTCTCGCCATTGCTGCTGCTCTCGCTCCAGTCCCCCCCTCTTCCCCACCTACCAACATAGCCTGCCCAGCCGCCGCCGCCTCCCCCGGCCTTGTCGAGCAGCTCCTTCTCCTTGGCGTCGTCGGCTGGGTCACGCTCCTCGCCGTTGCAGCCGGCGAGCTTGAAGCGGAAGACGAAGACGGCGTGCGCGGGCGGAGCCGCGGCCGCGGTGAGTGCGGCAGCGGCGACGGCTGCGTCGGGTGGCGAGGTGTCGCGCGCGGGGAAGAGCCAGTTATGAAGGTCCCAGGAGACGAGGACGCGGTCGCCGCCGCCGAGGTCCACCTTCTCGGTGCCGCGGAACTTCCAGCGCAGGCGGCGGACGTGGAGCACGCGATCGCCGTCGACGGAGACGGACATGCCGACCTCGGCCCTGTCCCGCTCCCGCCCCTGGCCGCCCTGGGCGGCGGCGCGCGAGACGAGATCCACCGAGATCTCCCGCTGCTTGCCGCGCACGACGACGCAGGTCCGGTGCCCGAGTCCTCCGCCGTCGCGCATGGACACGTGCTCGCGGCGCGAGACGAGGACGGGGCCCGGCCCAGGCGGGCGTCGCGCCTTGGTCTTCCTGTAGGCCTCCTCCGCCATGTCCCCCGCGACGACCGCCATCTCGCCGTCCACCACGACGGCGACGAAGTACCCCGAGCAGGGCTCCGGGGAGCCGCCCGAGGGCGGGAAGCGCGCGCGGGAGAGGTCCCAGGCCAGGTCCACCACGCGGCGGCCCCGCACGCGGAAGCGCTTGGACCCGCGCCGCCGCCACAGCAGCCACGGCCGCACGCGCACGGCCACCGTCGCCTCCTCGTCGTCGCACTCGCACTCGCCGCCGTCGTCGGACGCCGCCGCTGAGGGGACGCGGAGCACGGCGCGGAGGCTGAGCCCCAGCGCGGCGCGCGACCAGGATAGCGCGGCTAGGCCGAGGCGCGTGTCGTAGACGGACGTGGCCAGGCTCGTCCCCGCCCCGGAGCCGCCGGACCCCGATGCGGCGGCCGACGCCCGGCCGCCGGGCGTCGCCGCGGTGCCGAAGCAGGCCGGTATCGCGTCGGGCATCGCGCGTTCTCCTTCTGCACTTGGGATGGAAAATTGGAAACCACAGAGATTTTGCGCTGAAAACGCAGGCGTTCGTTGTTAATTTCGAAGTTTTGATGTCAGACGCCGAACGCGAAGCCTGGTTGATTCGTGTGCAGTTAATAACGAGGCGGGTGTGAACGAACTGGTTTTCTCAAACGTTGATGGCAACGGTAATTGTTGTTTATTCGGGTTGTTTAGAGTGGGAATTATTCAATCACTTGTTGTGTCGAGTCTAGATCTTAGCATGAGAAAAAAAATTTATAAGAGCTCAATCTGAAAAATTCAAATGCAGGTTGCTAAGCATAGCTTATCCTTAGAAATGTCGTACAAGTATAACGAAAGGTCGCTTTCTGGATGTCAGCAAATATTATTGCGACGAAAAAAAATAGTAATATTCATAGGACAGTAGCATGACAAGAACTAAAAAAACGAGAGAAACAAACAGCGTACAAACAGCCCGTTCGTTTCGTCATAAACGATCGTGGATTATTTACTGCTGGCTGATTTGGTGTGGGAGAAAAATACTGTTCTAGCTTATAATCCACGATCGTATACGAGCAAGCGAACAGGCTGTTAGCTGTCAAATAACGTTGCAGCATTTGTAAACTTGTTAGAAGTTCCAAAAAATAAAGAGAGCGAGTGACGTGTGTTGTTGCCTCAAGTGTCATTTCCCCACAATCTCATGAATCTTATCTTATTTATGTGAACGTGAGTGAATGGTTCGGACTATTTCACTTCCATTTCACCCCGATTAAAGAATAGTAGACCTTGATCTGTGAAGGTTTTGGGACAGGAGTGGCCCTCAAGTCTAACCAAACACCTGTTGTTGGATAAGGATGCTTTTTTTTTGCATTAGCTAACCAATTACAGTCAACTGTCATTCTGGTTGTTTAAATTACGTGAAATGTCATTCTAGTCTAATTGAGTAGGTTTTAGGTCGATCTAATAATCCAACATAAAATACTTTCAATAATGGCTTATAAGCCAAGCGAACAAGGCATTAGCATCCGATGACTTCAAGTTCGGTCGACTTCACTACTTTCTAACACGACTAATAACGTACTATATGAAAGCCGAGAACTTCGCACACCAACTCTCTGCACTGCACTCCGCGTTGCCTATTCCAAAGGGCACTCCGCTCCATTTTGCTCGCCAAGGCTTAATCATGAGTCGAGACCTAATCATGCACGACATGGTACGAGTGGATCGATCAGCCGGAGCCTCGATTCTTTCGTGTTAGACATGATACTCCCCCGTGCCCGTGGATACAGATTGCATGCATGCCGATGCCGGTCGCGACAATACACACGACATGATGCAACCAAGAATCGGGGGAGTACCGAAAAAGGAGAAAACAACGGGACACCGGGCCGCCGGCCGGGGAGGAGAAAATGAGCACCGCCACCGCGGAGGCGCAGGGTGCACCGAACCGTCGAGCCACCCCGCCCGTGCTCCACCTCCATTTCCACGGGCGGTGGTGGCAGTAGCCTAGCCGCAGTGCACGTGAGGCGAAGACCACGCTAATTCAGCGCTGATTCTTGTTCGGTGCCGTGGACCGGAGGACGACCGGATCGACGGACCAATGCAAGGACAGACGACGCAGGCAAGGTAAGACCGGCCGGCTGAGAGTCAGAGGACGAGAGGAAAGGCATCAGTGCCGCGCCGAGGCAAAGGAACGGTCAACCCGCCCCGCCCGCCGGCGACGGCGATCGACCCACCACCACGGAAACCGCGCGCCGATTGCAAGTGGGCCGCGTCCGTAGCTGGAGCCTGAAGCCATCGGGCGATGCTGGTAGTTTATTACCCGTCGAGCGCGTGCCGTCCGTGGTTTGAAGGAATCCGGTCCCTGGATTGCCAATTTGCCATGGTTTAGGGAGGGAGGGAGTGGGCGCTGATGCATGCTACAATGCTAGGATGGTGGGCTGCAAATTTGGCTTCGCAGATCACGTCAGTTGTTTAAATCCAGGGCTAAAGTTTAAGGGTATCGCATCAGATGTCATATGGGATGTTACATCGAGTGTTCGGATATTAATAATAAAATAAATTATACAAGTCCTCAGTAATCCGGGAGACGAATTTATTAAGTCTAATTAATCCATCAGCAGCACATGTTTACTGTAGTACCACATTGTCAAATCATGGACTAATTAGGCTTAAAAAATTCATCTCATAAATTAGTTTTAATCTGTGTATTTAGTTTCGTAATTAGTCTATATTTAATACTCAATGCATGTGTTAAATATCCGATGTGACAGGGGCTAAAGTTTAGGGGAAATAAACACAGGTTAAGCTGATGCTGCAAGCATTCACATGAATATCTCCGGTGCTATAGCTACAGCCTGCTCTTGCAGATAGTGACCAGGTCTGGAAGTGTTTGTGTGTCGTCTATTCCCAAAGGTGGGTTAGAGCTGTATCACTGTGTCGAAGTGTATATTTATGCCATAAAATGAAGTGTATGACAGAACAGCTCCGTTGGATATTAGTGTCTTACTGTTACCATCTAGTCACCATCCATCATTACTTTCTTTACGTATACAATGTGTTGGATCTGATCAGGCGGCTGTATTTTGTGAATATACAATGTGTTGAATAAACGTTCTCTGGTCGTATATCAATGAACAGGTCATTTTTTTTTCTAAATTTTTTATCGTGTCATGTTAATATATGAACAGGTCTCTATTTTCTACAGTGCTTTTGTCCCTCACTCGATGGGCAAAGCCACACAGGTCTTGAGCGGTTGAACCATATAGGATAGGATATTACAGCACTTGGCATTCTTATATCAGATCATTTAAGTCCTCTTGTGGACAAGCGGTCCGTCAATGTAAATTTGAAATAGCGGTCCGTCACAGACATCATGGGAAGGTTTCTTCTGAAAAATTCTCATCGTCACAGGCTCTGAGTCCCAAATTCCCAATGTGAGTTCCCAACAGAGCTTGGGTTGGGATCTCAGGTATTGCGGTTTCTCGCAGTTGAGCAGCAGCCGCAGCCGCAGCCGCAGCCGCAGGGCGTGCTGCAGAGAGGGTCGGCAGAGTAGATGGTCCCGTCTCGGCGGCAAACTCACCCCATGATGATTCACAATGTGCCACAGAAACAAGTTCACACAGGGATAAGCACCAAGGAGACCCAAAGGAGTCAGGGATTCCGGATTCGAATTCCCATTTGGCTCATATTATCTGTCACCGGAGAACTTACCGCAATTTCGTTCTGAAGTTCCGGTCAAAGAAAACTGTATATAATAACTTATGGTGCTACGACATCACAAACATCTTTCTATCCTGTTGGTATTCCGGCTGTGTTCGCCGCAGCTGCTGCACCTGCACCCGTCTACCGAACAGGCCTGCTATTGCTTGGTAGCTTCTGAAGGGCTTGTTTGGCGATAATTTGATAAAGTGAAAAAATAACCAGTTTTCTATAAACAACAGATTTGATTTCCCAACAGCCGCGCTCAGCGCTCAGTTTCTGCGCCGAATTTTTCATACGAGAGCCACATGTCAGCCACTAAAAAACAGGATAAAATGAGAGGAGAGCCTGGGGTTTGATCCCGCGAGCTCCCATGCCGCAGCAAAAATTGTCTACCACCAAGCTACGAGTTTAATACCTGACCCTAGGTTAAACGAGATGTACACATATAGCAACAATGACAAGGGTTAATCAGGCTAGCAGAAGGCTGATAGCCGCACTAGTCAGGAACATCTGAAGATCAGACATAACCAGAGCGCTTAAGGCACCATAATGCCCCTTGTGCGGCGTTCTCTCGTGCTGCTTTCTTCCTAGGTTTGGCTTCGCTGAAACACTCCATAACGGTGTTGACCAGTCCATCCAAGTGGACAGTCACCTTGCACTTGAATCTGCAGAGTTTAAGACATCAATGATTCCCATTTCTTCTTCTAATCATAATAACCAGCTTATCATGGGTAGTTATGAATCACTCTACGAAGAATCACACAAACAACAGATGATGGCCTCTGACCACATTTCAGAGGATGCTACCATAGGACAGTAGGACTTAGGAGTTACAGGCAGGCATATACTGGCTCAAAAAGAAAAGAACAAAAAAAGGATGACACCATTGTGGTTTGCTGTAACTAGAAATTTCAGAAAATTTGACCCACTTTTTTAACTAATTATATTCTCATTCCTCAAACTGTACTAACGAGGACTTTGTTGTTTTATTCTTAGGAATAATGCAGCTTTATTCTCACCTTTGTTTGTTCTTTCAGCCATCTAGATTGGATAGAGCTTCATAGTGTTCACATGCCAATCTATTTCTTGTGATAAAAGACAGAAACTTGCAGGTAAGCCTCTACTCATGGAACTTCAGTTGATTTCCCAGTTCGGGGTTACGCTTGTGTAGTGCGTTAATGCAGCTAGTGTATTTTTATTAGTCATGGCATTGGCGTTATCACATTCCAGCATTGGCATAATCTCTCTCAAAATTAAAATGTACCATAAACGATATTGTGTAGAATATTATGTATGATTCACCTTTTTTTTTAAAATATACAAATAAATACTGCATCGTAGGATACTAGGATGATGCTTTTTTGTGACATAATGCACAACATGCTATAAATATTGGAAGTGCATGAACATTTAATTTAATTTTCATCAGTTAGTAGGGAAACTCACATTTTGCTATGTTGAGGTCCTTGTTCTTCAAAGTCATATGCTGGTTCTTTCCAGCCAATTGCCTTGCATATTTTCAGCAGTCTCGAGCATACCGATTCGTTACCTACATAACCTCTGAATTTCAGTAAAACAATTATACAACCTCTGTTTCAGTAAAGCAATAGCTTATATGAAAAAAAAGGGAAGCTTAGCTTTAGATATCTAGCTAAGGAAGAAGCAAGAGCACTGATGCATATATATACTCAAGTGCATGCCAGAGCTCCTGGCCAACTTTCAAAAAAGAAAGAAATTAACGCAAATATGGCCTGTTTGGTTTGCAACTCCAGCGAGCCAAACCAAAATTTGGAAATGCCAAAAACGTGGGCAATGCCAAAACTACGATGTTTGGTTTCATGTTTGTGTTAAATGGTTTGAGAAGAATGAGTGTTTTGTGTCCATGCCAATTTGTGTTATAGTTGAAGGGTAAATGATATGGCTGGCGAAGAAGAAGGGAGATGAGTGTTTGGAAAGTAAGACCGTGTTTGGTGCCAAAATAACTATCAGCCAGCTGATCCCCCACAACTTATTGAGTGTAAATCATGCTCTTGGGGCCAGATTGCACCTCGTCATAATAATGGCGGCCCCATGTTTTTTTAATCAAAATGTAGTGTAAAATGTGAGATCTTGTTTTGTAGATTTTTAATTGCAAGTGAGATCTTGTTTTGTAGATTTAATTGCAACGAATACTATAGTACAGACAGATCCCAAAACTGAATGTACGGTTTAAAAGCTATTGCCATTTAAAAATTGATAATCACAAAATTGAAGAATTAGTGTAACCATACTCCTACTGACACATCATCCATGCACTGTACAGATGACCAAGCTAAACTCAGGCTAACAATTCACTCACCCAAGAGATGCCCCACTGGGCATGGCCAAAATTTATTTGGCACCACCAATGTTTGACCTTGAAGCAAAGGCTTTGTTGTTGTTGTTGTTGTTGTTTGCTAGGGCTCACATCCAAACAGGCCCATAAAGCCTAATTGTTTTAATTGTCGTTTAATACATAATCAAACTGAAAAGATATATCAGACACATGCTCCTTACTGCAACCATTCGCTTGACCAGAGTTCTGTACTGCACAACTATTGAGCACATCCATGGGATCCTTGCCAGTAGAATCTTCAACTGGAAGAGCGGCTGGAGCTTTGTTCTCCATGCCAAAGACTTCAATTTGCTGTTCTAGTTGGACAATGGACCCTGAAACTTCAGTCCTTCTGCGCTTGGCTAACAAATCCTACAAAGAGGGCAACTGACACCATCAGAATACAAACACAGACTTAATCTGCAGAGAGAAAAGGTAAACTCAAGCATGTGGCAGTGAATTTGAAAGGAGGATGAGAAAAATGGATGCAAGAGATTTTTGCCAACTTTTACATTTCCATCTTCTGACTCCACTTCCTTCTTGACTGGCACGCCACTGGACTTATACTTCCTGGAAGGCTCCATAACCACCAAACGGAGAGTAGCCCTGACAAGTTAAATTGTTACTAGTTAGCTATATGTTTCTGTCACAACATAAGTATCCACTATAGTAAGGTCTAGTGGCAAAAAGACATAATTCATTATTAACACTGTTTATTGGGCGCAAGAGAGCCGTACTTTATCTCAGTAATGATACCTCACCAACACAGACTAGAAAAATTGTACGTTTCAAAAGCAAATGGTTCAGAGCTATCCTCCGGAAAACATCCTACCTACTAGTCATGCATATTGTATAAAAGATAGCATGCATGGTGCTCAGTAAAGTCACCAAAAACATATAAAATAACTACTAAGTGCAAATTTACCACACCACATCTATGTTACCACCTATTCAACACAAATTATGGTTAACGTCATATGGTGTGCCATTCATCGACAGGGCTAGCACAAATTTTTTCTGTTCAGAACACGTGAATGTTTTTTGAGGATTTGACAAAAAGAAAAGGCCTTTCATCAACCAACTTAAATTTCTGACAACCTTATAAGCCGTGGGATAAAGAAATTAGAAACGGTAATGTGCGTGTGGGGAGGGGAGGGTGTTAGTATTGACAAAATTGCACTGCTGATTACTCGTAACAGTAGTGATGATAGAACAATTTTTCTATAAATGAAAACTAACAAATTGACAGTTGCGCTAACGCAGCTGGCCGTTACCATCCTTAAAGAGTAAGCCGTTGTAAGCTCCACTGAGTGACATACTGCAAGAGTGGGTGACAACAAAATACTGCACGTGCAGGTAAAGAACCATTTAGTTCTGTCTGGCTATAGAACAAATGCCATTTTCTGGCAATCCTGAAAACAGAAGGCCTTTCATGAACCAACTTAAATTTCTGTCAACCTTATCCATGGGATAAATAAATTAGAAACGGTAATGTGCGTGTAGGGAGGGGAGCGTGTTAGTATTGTCAAAATTGCACTGCTGATTACTTGTAACAGTAGTGACGACGGAACAATTTTCTATAAATAAAAACTAACAAATTAACAGTTGCACTAACGCAGCTGGCCGTTACCATCCTTAAAGAATAAGCCGTTGTAAGCTCCACTGAGCAACATACTGCAAGAGTGGGTGACGACAAAATACTACACGTGCAGGTAAAGAACCATTTAGTTCTGTCTGGCTATAGAACAAATGCCATTTTCTGGCAATCCTGAAAAGAAAAGTCCTTTCATGAACCAACTTAAATTTTTGTCAACCTTGTAAGCCATGGGATAAAGAAATTAGAAACGGTCATGTGTGTGTGGGGAGAGGAGGGTGTTAGTATTGACATAATTGCACTGCAGATTACATGTAACAGTAGTGACGACAGAACAATTTTCTATATAAATAAAAACTAACAAATTGACAGTTGCGCTAACGCAGCTGGCCGTACAATCCTTAAAGTGTAAGCCGTTGTAAGCTCTACTGAGCAACATACTGCAATAGTGGGTGACGACAAAATACTGCAGTGCAAATAAAGAACCATTTAATTCTGTATGGCTATAGAACAAATGCCATTTCTGGTAATCCATAACGGATTTTTGTGCATTCAACCCCCAAGTTTCCAAGTATAGAAACCATCAAGCTGTCTGCTCAGCGTCATATATCATATTAAATAGTTACATCAACCTTGTCCTCGCCAAAGAATTATACTCAGTCACAATAAAGATGCAGATGTATATTATCGAACTATGAACGGCGATTTATTTTTTCCAAGCAAATATGAATATTGGAATTTTTGAAGAAATACTACTCCCTCCATTCCAAATTATAAGTCGCTTTGACTTGTTTGGTACATCCATTTTGTTATGCATCTAGATATAATAATATGTCTCGATACATAGCAAAATGGATGAACCAAAAAAGTCGAAGCGATTTATAATTTGGAACGGAGGGAGTACTACAAATTCGGAATTTAACATCAGAAAATGATGCATCAAACGCAGCAGGCTGGGGAATATCTCCAAGGCTGGACGACCCTCCTGATTCTTTTTAAAACCGCGTGGCACGCACTGAAGCACCTAATCGAACTACGCGTGGTTAGGTCGTATTAGTGGGGTCCCGCAGCACACAAATCATCCAATCCAACCTATTGAAAGAGGGACAACAAAGGGTTTCGGATTTCATTGCTTTAGAGTCAGTCACAGCAAAGAATAGGTCCAATCCTAGATTGAACCCTAGAACAATCCGTACAACCGAGTTTCAGTCGCTTACCAGCTAAAGAAGAAACCGGCGGCCCGACTTCGGACTGATGGATCTGCACTGGAGCGAATGCAGAGTGGAGAAAGTGGGAGACGACGCCGCTCAGGGTAAAGAGAGTGAAGAAGGTGCTGTCTCGCCGGCTGGGAGAGTCGGAGAGCAGAAGGGGAGTCGCCGACGGGGAGAGTCGGCCGGGACAGCGTTTTTGCAGTTTCCCACCGGGAGAAAATGGTGATTCTGCCATTATGAAAACTGGGCTCAGCAATTTTGCCATCCCACAAATGGGATTCGTCCGTTTGCCATTCTCAAACGATACACACCTGTAAATATGCCCTGTGGAGAATTCGTTGCCAAATTAATTTTTTTTTACCATGACAAACTTGCCTACCCGTTTTGTCCCTCCCTGATGCATCACGGAGGCCTTCTCTTCATTCACGGGAGACTCACGGTCGTTCCGCACGGGATACAGACCACGCCGCCAGGTCAAGCGAGGGAGAGAGGGAACGGATCTCCGCCGCCGCCGACGGTCGACTGCAGGGCACCTCCTGGGTTTCCCCGAAGCCAGCCAGGCGTCCCGGCTCTACCGGCCGACGCCGGTGCTGCTCCAAGTGGTGGATGGAGAACTGGCCAGATCTTTTCCAAGGGTACGTATTCTTGCTTTGCTGGTAATCTAACTGTGCCCAAATGTGTAGATGAGACTCGACAAGTGTAGATGTGGTGGTAATCTTACTGTGCCACCTTTTTATTTCTTTACTAGGCTCGATGGGGAGCCTGACCTTAGCTTAGCACTGGTAGAACCTCCTGCACAGCAAATGCAGGCACCTCTTGTTGATTGGGATAGCCTACGCATCGAGGACAATCGAGATGAAGAGGAAAGAATTGAGATTGTTGATGATGAGGTGATGTATGAGCTGTTGGGGTTTAGGGCTGACGATGAGGAGGCTGATAAGGCAAGAAAGGCAGCCAGTAAAGCTAGCAGTCAACAGAACGTCGATACTTGTCAGAGGACTGAAGAAATTGATACAACTGGGGCAGTCATTGAAGTTGATGACTATTTACCAGGGGAGAGGAATGTGGTGCACGATCCAAATCGGCCCAATATGGATCTTGGCACAGTTTATTCTAACATGAAGGAGTTTAGATTGGCGGTGAGACAATTTGCTATAAATAAAGAGTTTGAACTACGCGTTGTCAAAACAGATCCTGAAAGATATATTGGAGGTTGCAAGGGGGGAGAAGATTGTCCTTGGCATCTTGTTGGGCGTAGACAGCCTGATTTAATTTATTTGGAATGTTATGTCCATCATGAAATTGTAACTTAGATTGTATCTGGACATGTATCTCCATCATGAGAATGGAGATCTCTATGAAAACGTATCTCTGGACATGTATCTATGTATCTGGACCTTATTTAATTTATTTGGACCTATGTTATTGTAACTTAAATGCTACCTATCTTGAATTTATCTGGACATGTACTTGAATTCCTCCCGCATGTTATTTGGACCTATGTTATTGTAACAGAAATGCTACCTATCTTAAATGCTACCAGTTGTTCTGCACTGCACCTGAATTCAAATTCCTCCCGCATGTTATCAGGTTCCCTGGATGTTCTTTATGTAGTGGTGTGGAGACCATTAGCTGATTCGCTAAGTGATATGCACATTTCTGTTCCTGCTTGTTTGCAGAGCTTTACAGTGAAAAACACAGAGAACTGAAATGCATGACTTCATTGTGTGCATCGGGATCTAGAGTGGACTAAGCTTCCAACCATAGCATTGCACTTAGATGCTTGGGTGCTTTGAATGTTTTAGTCAGTCGTACTTGTGTATTGCAAGCTCCATAACATGTGCTATTCACTATGTCGTAAAGGATCGACGGGATAAGAGAATGGCCAACTGGGAGAAATTCTGCTTACTACATTACTGTGGAAAAGTTTCATTTGTGATCATGAAGGTTCATAATTTAGAAATCTGATGCTTATTTATTGATGTAAACAGTAAACATTTAATTACAGATGCCCACACACTCTTTTGCAGTTATAAAATTGAAGAGGTTGTGGATTCAATATTGGTTAGAGCATATTCTAAACTGCTGGATTTTTTTTCTTGAGAAGGGGCATAAAATACAATACTGAGCTTTGTTTAACTGAATATAATTTCTTATATGCTTGCAAGTTTGATGTTGTTGAAACCAGTGTTTCTGGCCTTTCTGGTGAATGCCATAATTGTAATACCATTATTCACACTGATCTTAAAAATTACCAATCTATATGCAACATTGGTTAAGCTTGATTTTGTCCAAATTCTATTGAAATTCTGTCCAAATTCAAGCAAAATTATGTCAAAATTCTGCATAAAACAAGTCAAAAATACAGGTCGATTCCAGAAAAACATCTTCATTTCATAGGACTTAGACGTCATTACAACACATTCTACAAATCAGTTACTAAACAGACCACCACCAGGAGTCGTACCCCACACTTCTATAACATAGTTACTAAACAACTTCACTTGCTAATAAGCACTACCACACCTAAAAGAATTAGGACTGCAATTAGTAAACACAGCACCACCAACAGCTGCACCAGAACGATAAGCTTGTCCATCTTGAGATCCATCCTCTTTTCCTCGTAAATCCTGCAATTAGGCTTCATTTCGACCAAGGCTTTAGTTTCACCATGACCTTCGTATGCTACTGCAGCTTGCATTTCTTCTTTTCGTTTCTTTTCCATGTCTTCTTTAATCTTCTTTGCAACTACTTTCTTGTAAGCATCAATCCACCTAAAGAATGGACATTTCTTCACTGCCTGTGGAAATGACAATACATAACACAAACTATTTATCCAAATCTTGACACAGTACCTAGTTCATCCATTTCTATATGACAAAAACAGATCATTATATACTCACAAATTCATCGTAGTTTACATATTTGAAGAAAATTTTGCCGTTGTTCTTCCAGGATTTGCATTCCACTACTTTATCACCACATTTTGGACATGGAATGAGGGGGATCCCGCTAGGGCCAAGTGGATACAGAGAAAGGGCAGCTGTTTGGGATGAACGACGAACTAGACGAAGCCTCACCCATATCTGGCGTCGGGGCAGCGGCGGCGTCCTGGAGCGGACGCGTCGGGGCGGCGGCAGCGGCCTGGCGCGGACGCGGCGGCAGCCTAGCGCGGAGGCCGTGGCTGGGAAGGAAAGGGCCGAGGAGGTGGGCTGCTGTCGGCCGTCGGCGACATCGGCGGCGGTGGAGCAGTTCCCTCTATTCGTCTTCGTCTCGTCTCTCTCCCGTTCTCTCCGTGCTCTCTCTCCCGTGAAGATACGGTGAATGAAAAGGAACGAAGGGATAAGGCTCAGGGGCAAAACGGGAAGAAAGAGATGCCGCAGCAAAAAAAATTAATTTGGCAACAAATCCTCCGCAGGGCATATTTGCGGGTGTGTATCGTTTGAGAATGACAAACGGACGAATCCCATTTGCGGGATGGCAAAATTGCGAAGCCCAGTTTTCGTAATGGCAGAATCACCATTTTCTCTCCCACTGGTGCCACGGAATGACGGAGGAACCCCTGTCGTATTATCACTTTTTTTTATTCCAGTTTTGACCCTGGCCCACAGCAATACGCCAACTCGGCAATACCACGCGCTGGACCCCGACTCGGGCTCGCACTCGCCGTTCGGTTCGGATCCGATTCCAGCAGGCTCCTGTGTCTCACGGCGGGTATATGTATGTATGTATCCACGCGCCGCGCCCACGGCCTACCTCGGCTTCACTTCACCACGATCTCGTCTGCTTCTCGAGCGCACCGCCGGTGAGTCGGTGAAACACGAGGAGACGAAGCCAATCGTCCGTCCCCTCGCCCTCCGGTGATCACCCCAAACCCAAGTCGATCAGCTCTGCACGCCCGGCGGCACCGGCACACCGTGTCGGCGATGGCAACGTTGTGCATCCGTTCCACGGACTGCCTCGCTGGCCGCGCCTCCTTCGGTGCACACCGCGGGGTGCGCGCGGCGCCTGCGCTCGCTCCTCGTTTGCCAATGCAGCAGCGAAGCCAGCACGGAAGTCAGACTCTAGCCACGGCTTCTCCGCCTCATGTGGCCCTGAATTCGCGGTCGGCGCGTGGACGGGCGAACGGGCAGCAGCAGGCGCCGGTGTCCATCCCGGTGCCCATCCCGGTGCTCTTGCTGAAGCCCCGCGGTAGGGCTGCTCGGTTCCGTGTCCTTGCGCCTGACAACGACCGCGCGCCGGCGCCCACTCCTGCGGCGGCATGAGGTCGTGGAATGCTGGAAGTCGAAGCCAAGGTGCGTTTAGTTGCCCAAACTTTGCACATCCAAAAAACACTGTGCACTGTAGCGGTAGCATTTCGTTTGTATTTGGTAATAATTGTCCAACCGTTGACTAATTAGGCTTAAAACGTTCATCTCGTAAAGTACAACCCAACTGTGTAATTAGTTATTTTTTTACCTACATTTAATACTCCATGCATGTGTCTAAAAATTTGATGTGATGTGATGAAGAATCTTTCACTGTGCAAACTTTGGAGGTGTGGCACTAAACAAAGCCAAGGGGGTGTTTAGTTCACCCCCAATTCCAAACTTTGACACTATGCAAAAAGAATATTTCCCGTCACATTAAACTTGTGGTACATGGAGTATTAAATGTTGACGAAATCAAAATTTAATTGCACAGTTTGGTTGTACTTTATGAGACGAACGTTTTGAGCGTAATTAGTCAAAGATTGGATAATTATTACCAAATAAAAACAAAACGTTACTGTAGCTACATTGTAGCTACAGGAATTCAGCCGCGCCGATTCGGTGACACTAAACGAGGCCCAAGCCGCGAGAGTCGTCGTCGTAGTCACTGTCACAGACTCACAGTACGGCGGAGTCAATCAGGGCAGCGACTCTACTACTGGATCTGGAGGCTGTATTGCATTCGTAGCTCCCGTAGTTCACATTCCTTTTGTTTTGTCATCATCAAAATTGTACCTAGCATGATTGTTATTGTTTATGTGGTGTCGCTTTGAAGTTTGTAGATCTGAACATACTATTTAGGATCGTCCTGAAACGGACGTCACCATTGTAATCCATGAAATTCCTGCTCGGTTTTGTTTTGCGAATCATGGATAAACATTTATGTTTTTCTTTCATTTTGAAAATAGAAAATCACATCAAGGTTTAACAATGTTTTACAGCGGTTCCAATGCCTACTGCCGCACAGTTTTTCCTGTGTCACGACTCGTCAGAAAGTCAGAAACAAACACGCACAACCGAACGTCTCATTCGCTATCACACAGCCATGTCAGTGTGTGCCTCGTTTTCTTCAGTTATGCTGTAATGTCCACGAAACCAAGCACGCACGCTCACTTCAGTCTTGACTTGTGATTGTTACCCTCCGCCGCGCGCCCAGCCATCCTCGAGCGGCATGTCCGCCGGCATGACCTTCTTCCAGAACCAGTGCTTCCGCCAGAGCAGCACCATCTCCTCGATGGGCACGCCCTTGGTCTCGGGGAGGAAGACGCAGACGAAGACGGTCATGACGGTGATCCACCCGGCGAAGAAGAGGAAGATGCCGAACTTGAAGGCGCACAGCAGCGACAGGAACGCCTGCGCGATGGCGAAGGTGAAGAGCAGGTTCACGGCCACCGTGATGCTCTGCCCCGCCGACCGCGTCTCCAGCGGGAAGATCTCGCTCGGCACCGTCCACCCCAACGGGCCCCACGACCACCCGAACGCCAGCACGAACAGGCAGATCACCACCACCACCGCGATCGAGTAGCTCCGCGACAGCTGCTTGTCAGCCCCGAACTTGGCGCCCAGGATCACCGCCACGATCACCTGCACGCACGCGTCCATGTAGTGTACGTTAGTCCCAAGAAGAGCTCGGTCAGAAACTCAGTCGATCAGTCCATTCAGTCGATCACCTGGCAGACGATCATCTGGATCCCGCCGCTGATGAGGAGCTTCCGGCGGCCGAGGCGGTCGACGGTGCCGATGGAGATGAGCGTCGAGGAGAAGAGCACGGCGCCGGTGAGCACGGAGGAGTACAGGGACGCGTTCCCGCCGAAGCCCATGCTCTGGAACAGGACCGGCGCGTAGAAGAGGATGGAGTTGATGCCCGTCAGGATCTGGAACGCCGGCATGCACACGGCCATCGCCAGCTGCGGCCGGTTGCGCGGCTCCAGGATGTTCCGGAACGGGTGCTCGATGGTGTTGGCCAGCTCGCTCGCCTCCAACATGTCCGTGAACTCCGCGTCCACGTCGGCCGTGCCCCGG